ATATAATATATTACTATTTAATTAAAGGTTTTTTATTATAAGTAAGAAATTCAAATAAACTTTTAGTAAAATATTTATAAAATACCCTATATTATAGATAGCTAGTAAACCTATAGAGAGATTAATAGGTTAAATAGCAATAATAAGCCTAGTTTCCTAAAATTGGAAGGGTTATATAACTAGCTACCTCTCTTTTCTAAGCTAGCTAGAATGGAGAAAATTGGATCAATCAAGCACCAATTCAATCAGCGGTTTGACAGCCTGCCTTTAACGGAATAGGGATGCTGCACAGCCCAAAACCGGTTTCATGCTATGCGCCGAAATACGGCTTCTAGTGCAAACCTTACGGCAATGAGTCAGTCCATAGTGGACTGATTGACCTTATCAGAGCAAATCAAGCCATTCAGCCAAAGAGCTTAGGCTCTCGAATAGGGGGGGACTACGGCTAACTATTGTTCCGCTGCTTATTTAAAGGAGTACACTTCTACTACCTGGTCATCAAGGTAGAAAGGTATAGAACTTACTTAGCTCAGTCGTTTGTCTTTCTTTTTCTTCCCTGCCCGCCCGACGTGTCTTACACCTCACCCTCTTAAAATTGCTGATTTGTATCATACTTGATTCCCATTCAGCATCGGCTTGCAGAGATGGTAGAGCCAAAGCCCAAAGCACTCATCGTCGAAGCTGGGATTGCCGGTCTTTCCACAGCATGGTGGCTAGATAAGGCAGGTTGGTCATGCATCATAATCGACAAGGCCCCTGGCATTCGCAGCGGCGGATACGTCGTCGGCTTAACAGGCATCTGCTTAGAGACCGTTAAAGAGATGGGCCTCCTGAAACAGCTCGAAGATGTATCGTTCAAGGCTGATAAGAATACCATCAGAGATGTCCGAGGTCGAAAATTACTTGAGGTGGGATACACAGATATTCACGGCAAATTGGGGAGCTATTCAGTCTGCCGCGATGACTTAGCACGTCTCATCTGGACCGCGCTTCCTCCAAGCGTAGATGTGCGCTTTTCTGAGACTGTCAACTCTGTAACCGAAGAAGAAGATGGGATTGTAGTTACACTTACCAGCGGTGATGCAATGAACGTTCAACTTCTCATTGGCGCTGACGGTATCCGATCAATGGTACGAAGTATGATTTGGAAAGATCAAGACTTCCAGGTAGATTTGGGATATTCCTATTCTGTCTACGACGTAGAGGAGATCGTTAGGCTGGAAAGCGATTGCGTGTCTTTCAACAGTCCTGGTCATTTCGATATTCTCTACAGGATCCGCAAGGGCCGGCTTGCGGCACTCCATGTCTGGAGGAATGATTATACCAAGCAATACGGCGAGAAATTCAACACCAGAGATCGTCTTGCAAAGTTCCAAACTCTGAGGTTACTGGCTGGAGATAACATGCAACTCGCAGACGTGCTCAGCGCTGCTGAAAAGTCTGGGACAACGCCACTCGTTGACACTCTAACCATGGTCCAAATGCCGCGGTGGTCTAAAGGTCGAGTCCTTCTTATGGGCGACGCAGCACACTGTCTCACATTGATGTCTGGTCAAGGAGCAGCCATGGCTATCACTTCAGCTGGTATCTTGGGAAAGGAGATTATGGCCTCGGGCAGCCTTTCTGAGGCACTAGAAAACCACGAACGCAAGCAACGACCTCGTGTCGAGAGACTTCAGAGACGCAGTGAGGAACTAGCCGCCTGGTATATCCCGAAGAGCACATTCTGGTACTGGCTGAGGAACATGATGCTTAAACTGATGCCATACTCGTGGATCATCGCGTGGTTCGTAAATGGGCTTAAGGAAGAGACGAAACTGACATATGAGAAATAAGAATACTGTGGTAGAGTCTAGGCAGTCCCTCCAATCAATCTACGGTAATATTTGTAAAGTATAGATGACCGTATATTGCATCCTGTCGCGGGATTTGTTAGATAGCTCACGTAGGGCTTGAAGTGCAGCCGGTTCAATTTGGCAATAAATTGCAACGAAAGGGACAGCTCTCGAGCTCAGCTCGGCTCAGAGAGCAAAATGTATTCAGAAATGAAGAAGACCTTTAACGCTCACCCGTGCCACATACCGGTATACACATTCCAATCAGGATCCAGAGGCCTTGGAGAAATGGTTGCCGTCACAAGGCAATCCAAGGATGACAGGATAGTACACGAGATAGAATATATTCTTTAAATCTTTAAAGTTTATTAATTATCTTTACTATTTATTTTAATAAGACTTTTTTTTAAAAAAGAAAATTAATATTTCTTTTTAATTATATTTTTTTTATAATTTCTTAAATTTTTTATAAATATATAAATTTATATTGTATTATTATCTAGTTAAGCTTTTAGTATTATTCAAACTTATATTGGTAATATATTATATTAATACTTTATATAATAGCAAAACCTGCTAAGCATTTTAAGGCTCCTTAGAAACTTATTTAAGGTTATTTTATTCTTTATCTTTTTTACTCTTTACTTTAGCATTAAATTAGCCTTAAATAAAACCTTACAGTTAAGCCTCTTGTCCTGAATAGTATTATCAAGTTTATCTATATACTTGGCCCTGGTTTTAGGATATATCTAAACTGATTATAAGACTTCTCTAATTAACACACTTGCTAGATTATTTAAATGTTTCTTTAAGCTGTCTATGCTTTTTAGTTCATCCTTTATTACCTGGCTATAGATTTTATATTATAATAAATAGTCTTAACACTATTAGCAGACTTATCATGGCCTTTAGAGCTGACTCTTTAGCGGACGAGCATTACCCATTATACCGTTTCTGAGTTAAGTAAGTGGAATTAGGTGCGGGACTGACAAGTTCTCTTATCAAATAATACCATGCTCCCTGGGAGCAATATACGACAAAGTGTCTATAATATATACATAGAACACATCATGACTTGGTAGAGAAATACTACTATAGAAAGCTCAATTCAATCATACGCTACTCTGTACTTCTTATGGATATATATTCTGCCAATATATATACGTCTTACCCATAAAGCTGTCTATGGAAAACAAGCTCAACCCAGGTGCCCGTGCTTAATCCGAGGTGGCTCTTTGCATTGTCAAAGAAAAAGGTAATGCCCGGAGAAGAAGCCCAGTCTTGAGGTGGCGGCATAATGCCGTTAGGAAAAGTGTAGTTGATCCGGAGATTTCCGTTTTCAAACAAGGTCACCGTGCCTGCTGTCTGCGAATACAAGACAGTCACGATAACCTGTTCCAGATCTCGAAAGGATGTCGTACTTCTAATTGAAATATACTCAGTAAGCGTTGTGGGAAAAAGAAAGCATTGCTAGAATTTGATCTTAAGATGAAGGCATAGTGGTAGACTTACTGTAAATGAAATCTTTTGTCAACACCCTTCTCATCCTTTCCATAATAGTAGTAGTCACAGGTGATTACACCATTGAGAGGCTTGACAATCTCCAATCCGACCCCACGGTGAAAGGCAAATATTCCTGTGCCCTCGAAAATGCTGTAGACTCTAAACAGGCATTGTACGGCTGAAACCGGCTGAAGTGCCGGGCCAATCATCTTCGCAGCGAACGTATAGGAATCTCCGACACTATCAAAATCGTTAGCCGTCCCCTCGCAAAAATATTCGGCGTTTCTACAGCGAGTCACTCAGTGAACCTACTTAGTAAGCATTTCGCGTCCAGTACTTAGAGATAGGGATGTGGCGTTGTACCAATAACGGTAGCCAGGAATGTTATCAGCGACGACGGTCCAGAGCTGCCCTTCTTGATCTTCTGTCCCAGAATTGAAATAAACTTCGCCATCGCTTGGGCTGCGGATCGACGGGCGTATAGAACCAGGACAAGTAAAAATATCCTTTATCTGGGCGGCGAAAGCGTTGGTCAGGGTGTCTGTAAAGAAGGAAAGGTCAAACGGGAAGGGGCTTGCGTAACTGCCAGAGTCCCCTGTAGGCATATTAAAGATCAACTTGCTGTCTTCAAACAGCCACAGGTTGGAGGAGTTCACTCGCATTACTACGTAATGCCACACTCCGTCAGGTAGGATGCTTGACGGGCCTGAGAGCCCGCTACTCCCCGTTGTTCCAAGAGTCGTCCATTGTATATTCTGACCTGCTGCAAGTTGCAAGACGGGATATGGGCCATTGCCCTTACGGATAAGCGGCCCCGTGAAGGACATTTCTCCGACAGGTGCATCGAACTGGCTTAAAGCAACCCGAAAACCAAACAGGAAGCCCGCAGAGGTATCGCCAAAGCCGGGTATTTTCCACCCACCCTGTGCGCTAAGCAGGGCATTTGGACCACCAGATTGAGTAGATAATTGGAGGTTCCCATCGGGAAGGACCACTGCCCCTGGTTTGCCTGGCCCTTCTTGTTTTGTGCTCCAGCTCATCTCCGGCCTTCCAGGTACATAGCGTGTCAAACTTCGCATCGCGTCCGATGCAACAACAAGCCAACTGTCATCATCGGGCCTTTCGGCGTTGTGCTTCTTCGCAGCTTGACCGCGGAAGTTAAAGCGCAGCGTATATGTTCCCGCTGATGTGACTCCGTAACGAACAGCGAATTGGGTGTTTCTATCCCCAAACACCGTAATATCGTAAAAGAAGTCTATAGATGGGGAGCAGAGAATCTTGAGATCCTTGGGCTGACACTCCGTTACAGGATAAGGTGTGATGATGAATTCTTGCGAAAGATTTCTGCTATCCGTGCATTGGATCAGCGTATCGAGACCTGTGATATCGAACTCAGCCACTGAAGCAGGCATAGTGACGACGACGTCGTAGATATTGTTGGCGAATGGTTGAAAGTTCGCCAGCAACCGAAGCTTGAAGTTCCCTGGTAGTGTGCCTTGTCCCAGTATATAGCTTGCTTCGAATGCACCGTACGTATCTGGAGCGCTGAATATGACGACAGCTGCATTTGCGTCGGTCGAACTCACGGGGTAGACCAATCCAGTGAAGTAAACACTGTTATCAACCATCGGTTGCTTATTACGCAGGACTTTGACAGTGAATTGCGCGGAGATCCCTATCGAGGCTTTAAACAAGCCATCGCCTTCAAGTGTAATGGAAAGATCCGACTGGTCCGGTAGCGTATATGGACTTCCTGTCGCCGGGATTCCGTTAACAGCAACGGCTACCTGCATCTGGCTGGCTCCCAGGGGAACGTAGCTAACCAGATAGGAGCCATCGAGGCGATCTAGGATCTCTGTCACGACTAGCTGGGAAGTGGACTGCGAAAGCACGGAAACGATATCTCCACCCATATATCGTCGATTGCCGTTCTCGCTGGCGGCTGTAACCAAGAAGCTCGAGATATTGTCCTGGACGTGTTTACGCCAGAACGCTAAAGCATTAGCTGTAGGCGGAGCGGAATCCATAAGATATGGGCCCGGTCCAAAATCCACTGAGCTCCTACTGACCCGAACCACAGGCGGGATCGAAAGGTCTGGATGCTTCGCCGCCGGTTGGACAGTTGCTCTATAACCCCGACCCTTCCGCTTGATGACCACGTTGCTAATCTCGTTGTACGTTGAAGCAACGTGCAGCTCCGAGGGATCCCACAGCTGACTCTCTTGGACGATTGACTCCGCCTCATCGAAAGGCAGTATGTCGAAATACGGTAGTGTCGTCGGCAGTTCCATTGCCGGTCCATAACAGCGCAGTTCTTGAAGAGCTGGCCATGAATTGATCTTGAAATCTACCGGACTTCCAGTTGCTTGAACTCTAGGATCACTCCGCGCGCAAACAACGATCGTATCCTCCCGGGGGGTTGAGGATAAGGTGTAGGAGAATGATACTGTGCCATCTCCGTTTTCAGAAGAGATACCCAATTCAGAATTGAGGTCTAAGCCCCGGAGCACACGAAAAGAGGTACCGACGTTTTCCATAATCCACAAGTAGCCGAGATCATCACGAGCCGTTATCGTGCCTGTTAGAGTTTGGCCTACATAGTAGGACTGCTGGGAAAGCGTAACCGTTGAGGCCGTGACTGAAAATCCTGGTCGGTGGGTTGATGTCGCGACGTTGATGGGACATTGCTCGAGTAATAGCCCGTCAATGGAGATGGAAATTATACAATTAACGTTTGGAAAAATGTATTGGAAGCTGACCTTGTTCCCAGTTCGCCTGGTTTCAGTGATTTGCGGGGTCGGGTGGCCGTTCTGCGTCGTTGCTACGGCCAATACCGTCAGCCCTGGATCCGCGTTATATGGGTTTCCGATGTCGTCAAGAACCGTAACATCAAAATTTGCGTCGTCCCCGGGGTAGCCGGTACAAAGGCCAGGTCCGGCTGCCTTGGTAAGCTTCGTACTTGGTCTCAGTACACACTGGATTTGCAACGGGGATCCGGTGATCGGAGTTCCATCTTCCAACGTGATACCCAGCATGTGTGACGTTTGTGACGGAACCCAGTCGACCTTCAAGGCATCGTTGAACGTGACCAATTTGACAGGGAGTTTTGTTGGCGGAGTGAAGGTTACCTTGTATAAGTCTTCAAATGCAAGGCCATAGAGGGGAGTACTGCGAGAATCTCGGGGCCATATGGTCGCTTGGTTGTGGATACCCATGACTGCAGCCAGAGGGGCATCGAGGAGAGACAACCTAGACGCTGTGCCAGGCGTATCTGTAGAAATGACGGGTATCTGTGCCTCGTAATTCAGTGGTGGATAGGTGATGCTAACGATGTAGCCACCCAGCGTTGTCGGCCTGCTATACGTTGCAAGATACGAAGAAGGCCCTTGGGAGACCCATGTTTTCACCGGGACACGGGTCTCGGAGATGATCGTTGCCGTTAGCTGGGTTTTGTCGATAGCAAGTCCGTTACCCCAGGCGTCTTTTGGATACACCTTCAGCTCGACCTGTTCTCCCACAGTGCCGTTATTGATTCCGGATCCACCAACCACCCATAGGCCGGTGTACTTATTGGAGTCGGGGTTTTCATTGGAACCGCCAGAGTCATCTAATCCGCCGCCGCCACCGCCGCCTCCTCCGCTGCTACCAAACACCGATTTGATGACGCTCCACACAACCGCTGCTTCAACGCCCAGCGCGACCAGCTGCAAAGTTGTTAGCCTTTTGCAAAAGGCCGATTCAAGAAGAACATGAGAAACGTACCGCTGTTCCAACAGCTGAGGCAGCCGCAACCCCAGCGACCTCCGCCATGATCTCGCAAAGTTCCGTCAGCTGTTCGACATCTTTGACCAAATCCCAGAGCGCCTTGACCATATCGTAGATCTTTTTCACGTCGATACCGAAAATTTTGAGTGGACCTATCTCGTCAGTATAGAACCATTTCAATAACACATATACGATAGGATAATACGAACCGTTAGGCAGGTCGTAAGATATCGGAATATCTATGGTGGCAAAAACCTCCGCCGTTCCCGAAAGCTGACCAACCGCCGCAAAGTTCGATGTTGATTTCGATACACCAAGGAAGAGAGTCGGGTGAAGCATGACGAAGATCTTTTTCGTTCCTGGCAGAATCGCCTCGGGACCCAGGATTGCAGTGAAGGAGCCGCTACCTTCTATCCAGTTCATCTTCATCATGATAGCACTCAGGGTAGGCCACCAGCTGCCCGGGAGATTAAAACGTCCAGCCGTGGCAACATATATCGCGTCCATAAAAGAGCAGTCCGGGAGTTGAATGTTGAGTGACAGTACCTTCTGCGTCGCGTCTAATGTCAAGTGAATTTCAGAGGCCAGCGGCGTCTTGCTGCTACGAGCAGTGTACTTCAACAACCCAAATAGCCTACCGGTAAACCCGGGGTTGGAGCTCAGGTTGTCAATGTAGATGTTCAGTTTCAAGTTTGTTAACTTGAGATATCCGTCCACTATTGACCAGCCTGGGAAGCCACTTCCTGTCTGCACACTAACGCTTAAGCTGTCCGGAGTCCAGTTTTGGCCAGAGGGCAGAAACCTGACCTGAGCAGACACTATAGCCAGGCTGCCATAATCGCTCAATCCTGAATCGTTGCTGAACTGTGGAATATCGCTTCTTTCTCTCCAATCGCCACAGTAGTTGCTCAGTATAGCCGTAGCCTGGACTTGGGTATCTATCAAAGCCTGCAAAGATACTGTAAGGGTCTTTGATTCGTCTACACGGGCCGCGATCCTAAGTATGTTCGTCGAACTCTGCTGTAGTGCTGCTTCTCCATAGATGATGACGGTCTGAGTGGAGCTGGTGGTGTCCAGGCCGACCAGACTGGCGTTCAGCCCGAGCTTGGTGACTAGCAAGCTCTTGGCGGATGGACCAATACTCCATGTGATGGATGCAGCAAGCTGCATCTCTATGACCACATCCTTCAGCACCCACTTTGTCCCATTTGGCGCAAAGTTAATAACTAGAGTCGCCGACATGGACGGCTTGTTCGGGTCAATGGGGCAGCCGGAGGGAACGTCTATTGTAGCGTTCGGTACGAGGACCGATAGAACGGATCCTACTGTGATCAGGGGATCAGTATGATTGTCTATGCTAACGGTGATTCGCAACCAGCCTGGCCTCTGATCTGTACCCGTCAGCAACTTGACGGTAGCGTTTATGTTTAGGCCACCGCCGATTTTCAATCGCCCCCTAGCAGTGAGCTGGTAGTTTGACGGAGGACCCAGAGGGTTGAGGATCACTAGTTCTAGAGATGACTCGTCCAGCGCAATTCGGTCTGTTATAACCCATGGGCCTCCTTGGCTGAGGGTGAAGTATAATGCAGTCAGGCTGCCGATTTCGGTATTCCTGGTAACGTCAATTCCACAGCTGAGTAGAAGCTTGCTAGTGGACATGAAATCGCTTAGTTGGATAGGATAGTCCGCTGTACATCGGTTAGCAGAAAGACTAATGGCGGCCTACCTCCAGTAGAATGACTGACCTGGCACTGGAGATGGTATCCTAGATAAGTCTAACGTTTGCCCGCCAAACTGTTGAAGTTGGTATATGGTAGATGCCGCTACTCCGGCACCACCATTGAGTGTCTTCACGTCAACTTGAGCGTGGAAGATATCGTCTCCTGGTCCGTTTCTCCAGAATTCGGCCCAAACTTGGACCCGTAATCCGGGGCCAAGCAAGGACAAGCTGCCAACCAGTCGAGCTCTGGCTTGCATCGTTGCTTGATCGCCAGCATTTGATATAAGCACTGTGAGCGATCCTTCAGGTAGAACGAGACTATCATAGACAGTCCACTTCTCTGAGAAATAAACAACGATATTTACAAGACGGAGGCTGTAACTGCTAGTCCCAGTAAGTTTCTTGAATTGCACGTCTAGTTGTGCGCCGGAGGATGAAAATGCCGCCTCGATCTTGATGGGAAACGTAGTAGGCAAGTTCCATCCATTCAACGGGGGCGCATAGCCCGTCATCTGCGGGTCGGATAGAACTACCGTCGGGCTAATGTTCAGGGCAGATACCGGATCCAGGTCAGCTCCGTCCTGCGCCGACAAGTGTGCCCAGAACTCAGTTCCGCTTACTGTCTTGGACCCAGCCACAAATGCAACGACAGCCGTGTTAATAACCCTAAAGAAGCCATAAACATATCCAGTCACGATACGTTTGGTTTCATCAGCATTCACGGGATCAGTGAGGTCGAACATAATTCCTAAACTGAGCAAGGTCATTTGGCTGGATATCTGCCAACCATCGTTGTTGGAATACTGAGCCTTTAACAGGACCCGCGTCAGACCTTGATTATTAAACCGTAGGCGGATGCTGCGGTCTCTCCCTCCCACAGGGTCACCGGAAAGGATAAGTTGAACAGGAGACTCGTTAGGTACCGGGTACTGAGTTGAAATAGCGACTAGGTCAGGAGGAACCACGTCGTACGGAACAAAAGCATTATCGCCGGCCAGGTCGGTCAGCGATCCGTAGTCGTAGTCTGTGATGCGTGCTAATATCCACGTTTCCTTGTTGCTCGAATCGTATGTGAGGACAGCAGGGAGAGCGTATTGTTCGTCCCGAAGATGAATAGTTCCACGGACGTAGGCCGAATAGTCCCAAGAGTTTGTTACTCTTGTCTTGGACACAGATGAAAGACATAATCTTTGACCATACTGACTATGAACACCGGTATGATTTGTCTTGAAAGTTTGAGCTTGGCTGCTATTGGCTGTGACAAATATGTTCAGATCTGACAGAAAAACCTGGGGCCATATGTGGTCTTCTGATGGGGGCGACGACCAGATCGCGCCGGGGCACTGGACTGCGACACTACATGACTGAACCGCCATTGCTGTCGAAAGAGAGAGAACTATTTCGACTTCTAGCAAAGCTCCACGCCGGGAAACGTACGTTCTCATATATTCCAGGTTCGGCGGAACGAATACCTTGCCAGTGCCCCTCACCACCAAGTCCATGACATCGATAGCCGTGAGATTCATGGAGGGGCTGATTGCGGCTGACAAAGTGATGGTCTTAGTCTCAGAACTGTCGAACTCTGCTTTTACCAACACATCGGCTGTTTTAATGCCCACCAACCCTGCAACTTGCAGAAGATAATTCCATGGGCTATCGACCGTGTCACGGCGTATGATTGCTGTGCAACCCACCCGCTTCAGAGTGATATTTTCAACAGGTGTCCAGTCGAAGCCGCCCATGACCAAAAGTTCGATGCTCTTGAGGTACGACGGTTTAGCTGGGGTTCGGTGGACTACCACACGAGCAGAAAGCACGCTGCTTCCTTCGTCTACAAGTTGAGCAATTACATCTGACGACGCACCGCTGATCGCCTTGTCAAAATCCAGTGTGGAATCTAGAGCCCTAACAAGGTTCCGTGCGTCCGTGGTGATCCGGTTATCCATTAGAGTCAATGTCAGGATGAATTCGACTTCCGAGTCTGAGAGTAAGTCCGGAATCTGACCCTTTACCATAAAGAGCACGTCGTCAACTTCCAGTGTCGCTCCAAGGCTAATATCTAGAGTGTTGCCTCCTATGAACGAGTGAGTACAACTATCTGTCGTGGGGACTTTACAGGACTTGAGACGTACCTGCGTTGCCTGACATTCTCAGGCCTATGTTGAGCGATGCTGCCTGAAGTATAAAACCTGGGCATATCTCCCAATCGCTCGAGAGCTCGACAGTCAGATTTCCATAGAAAGAATAGCTCAGGGCACTCTCTCCTGCGCTTTGATGGCCTCTTGCCCTGCCCTTGGGTGGGGGAGGTTGAGGCACTGGGAAAGCCAAGTATTGCTGTGAACTATTGAGGATAATAGCCACAGCCTGGCTGATCTTCCTCAAGTCATCATCGCTGATGGCTCCCATGGTCCCGATCCACAAGAAGCCGAATCAAGTTTTTAGTAACAGTTGAGTTAGGCCGAAGGAGGTGTCTCTCTCATTGATACAATAGTCCAAATTTTATCAACAAGGGCTTTATGGCCGTGTTTATTTTTTTTAGCCGTCTGATGCATATGAAATGAGAACTTCGAGCTATCTCCTCAACTAATTAGTGGGGGAGATACCTCATTCCACCCATGTGTCAATGAAATACGGCAAACCCCTCTTTCTAGCCCGATTATCTGCTTCAGCCAGCCACATTGTGCTTGCTAGATACCAACATACCAATAGCTGCAATGACCTTGGCGCCTGTCCCGAATCTTGCGCACGGAAATATGTGATTCATGCACGAACATGCACAAAAATGGCACTATTGAGTGAACTGAGACAAGACTGGGAATAGTTTCTTGGCGTGAGACCATAACCCCTAGCCCGATTCTCCTTTAGCCAGTCACATTTAGCTCACTAAACACCGAAATAGGAATAGATGCGACTGGCCTGAGAAATTCGGGCATTGTATACGAGCGGAACCATTAGAGTTCCCTAAGTCTATACAGCTTTGAGTGTGTTGGCTCGTGGAAAATTGATCACATTGTCATTTTCTAACGCTTTTTACATTTTCCGCGCCCTTCTACCCTCTCGCAGATCCTTGTTCATGCACGCATAACCTCCCACGTGGGAAGCTGAAAATTAGTTAATTGGGGAAGAAGCCGAGGTCCCAAGTGACAAATGACATGGGTCCCGCCACTCTCTGGAACTTTCACATCCTTATCTTTTCCTTTCTTCACTGTAACAGACCCCTAAGCGACAAGCAATTGAGAAGTTCCTACGTTGCTTCTCCCCATGTCGTTTCTGCTCCTTGACCATCATGACCGAACGCAACCAACGAACGCTCATAATTAACTCTCAACAGCTGAACCAGAGGCTGCTCCAGATAAACGGTTCCATCTATCAGGTAAGACCTCTAGTCGCAACAAAAATACGAAATTTCCTCCTCTCTGATATGGACTACTATAGCCCTATACGCAAATTGTCGTGATAGATAGCAACTATGGAGATTGCAATGTCGTAGATATCTGCAAAGCCAAAATCAATCCCCAGACAGGAGCCTATCAACCCTTCATTGACGGCGGCTCGTCATACTCACGGTCTATCATTGACGTTGGGTACGGAACTACACCCTACAACACTTTACTTACAGTCTTGGAGAAAGTCGGACAGCCGAAGTTCAAGTTTCCCACTGGGGTTTTCGAAAATGAGCCGGCCAAGTATGACGAAGCGTTGGTTGATATGCTGCAGGTAAGTCATTAATCCTTTTTGATGATCGTGTCAGCGCCACTCAAAGGTCGGGTCGCTAACTTTTTCTAGTTCTCGCATATAGATGAGGATCACTGTGGGAAAGGTAAAACACGTAAACCAGTGATTTGGTCGCATCTTTCATGTGCCAATGCAAAGATGATTTTGCTAACCCATTATTTGTAGGAAGGGATCTGATACGGGCCATAAACGACTCCAGATCCGCAGTACCAAGAACTCGGTTAAGCAATAGCTTTGAGGGAACAAAAGTTACCTACCATGAACTAGAAAGCTTGGAGAACTACTTCAGCCTACAACCTGTTGTTCCTCAAGGCAAGAAATCAAGACCCAGGCCCCTCAACCCCACAAGTCTCGAGTGTAAGGACCATGAAGACTGGATTATTGGACTCGGAGATACAACAGATTTCCGATACATGTATTGGTTCTATTACCAACTATTGGAGAAAGAACACGATGAACCAAAGGACGAGGACTGGGAGGAACTGGCGGAAGAGTCCCCCAATCCCACGTTCACTCTGGAAGTCCCATATAAAAACTGCCTTTACGAAGACGATGAGGAACTGAAATACAAGTACCTGTGCGTGCAAGCTCACATCTGTCTTCAGCGCTGGGGCAGGATGGGTGTTGTAAATGACTGGCAGAATGTCATGTGCAAGAAGCGAAATGGCAACAACGCAAGTGAAGTGCCAGTTCAGTGGGAGGTCATAACAACATACAAAGTCAATGCACCCCCAGGACGGGACCCAGATGACCTCATATACGTCACATTACCACCTGCAACGCTGAAGAAGGCTCAAGGAATCAACTCTCCTCGAGATTTCGCAAGGATAAAAGAAGCACTACGAGAATTAGAAGTTGCAGGTCAGAACCAACTATGGAATCCTGTGCCACTGTTACCCATTAGCTTTCCTCCAATACAGGGGAGCAGATTAGATCTCGAAAATGGGGATATGTGGAACGTCGAATTTGTCGGTCCAACAGAAGAGCTTTACGATCAACTTCGGAAAGAAACAGCCATTGCACGATTCGAGACAGCCGAGACAAGAAACGGCGGCGAGTTTGGCCCGCACACGGAGGCGTCAGGTCAGCTTGTGAAAGGCGAAGATATCAAGAACCGTGCTAGCATCATTACCCTGTTTACCAGCGAGTTCACGAAGCCAGAGTTCAAGATGTTATTCACAGGCGACGCCCATGACCGTAGCTGCGACATTCAAAATACGGTTAATTCATTCCTTGGGAACTACACAGATATTCAGGAGGTGCACGTTTTGAAGGTGATTCTTCACGACAACTTCTTGACATCATCGGCTAATGTCCCAAACAGGTTCCACATCACTGTTCCGAAATTACATCAGACACAAATTTCTACCGCGCCATACGCGCTCGTGTGTATCTAATTTGGTAAATTCCTAGACTCCACATCGTATCTGCTGCTTTTCAATTGTGAACAGGTCTAACATTTTTGTACCTAGTGGCCAGCAGAAGAAACACGGCAATCCTTCCCTTACTACACTCCGCGCGATTGCGCAGGGCTTTGAAAAGGACCAAGACGACTATGATCCCAGCGAGATTCCGGCATTCTTATTTTTCTCTGATCCTGGATCGCTGGATCCTGTTACTGTCAAGATCGGAGGGATAGAAGTCAAGACAAAGTCCAATGTCTGGCATCTTCTGAATACAGCTGCCGAGCGGCCGTGGGTGCCGGATCCAACCAGGCCGGATCCAGACCGAGATGTGTACAACTACCGCTGTTTTAGACTTAGAAAAAAGGCCAGTGCAGGCAATGAGTCTTTTGGAAGGGTGGTGCTTGGACATAACCAAGGCGGTGGATTGTCAGTACAATTTACGGTGGCGACCCGCGACAACGAGCCGAACACGGAAATGCTCAATGACTGGGTTGAAATGATGCCGGCTCCATAAATAAATCTTGGGTAGATGATTATCTGATAGGTTAGTCATATATCGATCAAGCAACACTTTCAACAAGGTATAATGGATGTACTTATACCACTGCCATTGCGTGTTTTCTATTGCTAATAATATCATAAGTATTATTTATTTTTCTCTCCTTCTACCCCTTCTTAAATGACTCAAGTGTAAAAGTTATATCTAATTAGCTAATTATCTGGATTAAGTAGTTATATATAGAGTTGATAGTAAAAGGGAAGATATAAGCTACTACCGCTGAGGTGGTTTATTTAAAATACGCGGTGCTGTTAGATCGGGAAAGGGCATTGCATTTACTGTTAGGCTAAACTCTGGCATTGATCGAACTAGACGACCTGTGACTCTGGTTGGCTCGGCTGAAGGGCTGGAGAGCAGATTAAAGGGTTTAACGTCGGACTGTGGCAAACATGCAAGCCAGGGCACCTTATATACTGCGACAATGCTTCGGAGCTATTTATATATAAGTTTCAGGGGTTCATAAGCTTATCTTGGCATCGGGCTTGATAACATGAGCCCTGTTAGTCAAACGATGGTACGACACGTTTTTCTCCATATGCGACGTCATTGGATCACCCAGAAGGTCAACTTCAAATCCTTCAGGCACTTTTCGTACCCTGCAAGGCAGACTAGACTGAAATCTCGGTTAGACTCCCGTCAGCTGAGTGCTCTGCCTCTTGTTGGTGCACGTTTAGTGGGCATGCTGTGATCCTTCGAGAGACTAAGCCCCCACCATCGGGGCTTAGCTGTCAATCATTGTCGGAACCAACACGAGAGCCTTGGTATTTATTCTAACGTTAGTGTCTACAGATTTGAATTGTCAGTCGTATCGTCGTTCCCGCGTTATATCATCAATATGTCACCGATTTCTCAACCACAACCAGCCGCCCAGCCCGCTGGTGCGAAGGCTTCTCTGCCTGTGCAAACGTCTCAGCCAAGAACACAGCAACCGATGAGTATGGGTTTTATTTGAATGAAGAGGTGCTCAGAAGCTGATTCACATCTTTATCTAGAATTCCAACGGCCACAAGATCCTAGAGCCGATCGCAGACGCCCTCGTGATGATATAGAGCGCGATAGATGCTGTCGCGGGCTAAACTGCACATCAGGCATTTATATGGTCCCCTGCGCATGCACACTGTGTTAAATAAATACTTCGTGCTGGGAATCAAATGAAGCTTTACGGGTGGAGGCACTTATGATGAAGCGATATGAAATGCTGTTCTGGGCTATTGTATATACCTGCAGTCTAAGCGCGGGGTCCATACGCATCGACAAATAGGCACTATATACGGGACTGGTCCCAATTTAAGACAACATAATAATAGCTTATGGCTTTCGTTACATGGTGCCAGATGGTAGAACTTCCTAACAACCAACTACAGTGTAGTAATCCCATAGGAAGCCGGGACCAATGCAGATGCCCTCAAGGGTTTCATCATAAAACTGCTGCGGTACGCGGTTGTTGCAATCGCCCTCGTTGGCATACAAATCGATTTGGCAGCTGCCCAGATCTTCAAGCTCGAACCCTCTATGAGGGTTTGGAACACTTTGACAGCCTGTGCGGGCGGCAGGGCATTAGTCATCATTACTGGAAGTATCCTTGAGATCTAGGAACGGAGTAAGTACCTTGATTACCGTCTCCCTCAAGGTCACCAGTCGGAGTCGACTCGCAGTCGCCGTCACCATAGATGGTGAACAACCAAGCATTAGCCGCTGTTGCCAGAAGCAGCAGCGTCATCTTGCGAGTGAGCATCATCATTCTTGCTTGGCGGAATACGTGCTCGGATCTTGATCAGGTCGTCTTCGTATGCTGGGTCCTTTTCAAGGCGTCTTGAACTGGCAGCGTGGAGGAGAGCTTGACGAAAGACGGGGACGTCAATCTTCTTGGGGATATCAATGATTATGTCTGTTTTCCACTGGTCGCCGTAGATCAAGTAGTGGATTGGAAAGGGGACGTCAGCTGCGTGGTCGACTTCGTACTGTTCAAAGACAATGTCGCGCCAGGTCTTGTTGAGGTTTCTGGATGTCATGCTGGAGTAGAGGGAATTGTTTAAGAGCGGGATAAGCTGATATTTATGTTCTTTTCACTTTTTGGTCTTGCCTAAAGTATCGGTTGTTATCTCTATTTTCGTCTTCTTCAGAGCTGCTGTTCAATGCTGGTTGCCGAAAGGTAGTACCAGAGGTGAATTGCAGGTGACTGACAGGTTGAATCAGGGAATCTCCGAGCTGACTGTCAAAGCGCAGCGCCAAGGGTAAATCACAGAGGTTGTTGTGTTGGCTGCTGAACTCACAGTCTCAAATTTAAACAAGATTGGTGGTTTGAATCAAGGAAGTTGAGTTGTTGTGTTGGTCGTTGAACGTAGATCGAGATGGCCAAGTTCGCCAAGTTCAAGTTGGTTACGGCATCATGAACAAATGCGGGGTCAGCACCGGATTCATGCCTCAGGTTAGGAAGATCAGGCATTAAATAGAGTAAGTGTCACATAGTCAGTACGGACGGCCCGTCGGGGAATTAATATGTGCATTTCGACACTTTCCTAAGTGACTTCATCTTATACTAGCTCTTATCAAGTATGCTACTTACGTACTAACCAGGATCTTGTGATGAAAATAGGTATCTGCAGGCGATCAGCGCAAGGTATTCTCAAAGGAGAAGTAGCCGAAGCGGGAGCGGCGGAATTAAACAAGGTCCTTCCTATCAAGGTGTAAATTAGACGATCTTGGTAGATAGTAACCGTCCGAAGCTGGGATCAAGAATTAAACTTGCATCTGAATCGGAAACCTCACGCCATCAAACAGTTCACTCTTGCATCTCTAAGTCTTAGTTGTCTTTGAGCCCCCAAATCATTATTTGAAATGGATCAGCAGCGCTGATCTGTCCTCTAGAACTCGTATTCAGCCAACAGCACGCATGATGGGAGGAATAGCGCTGTGTCAAAACACAATATCTGATCTCAACGAATGCCTAACTTGTTGCGGCATCGGGTGAGAGAGCTACAAGTATCCGTCATTCCTCGAACTTTGGACTTCTCCCGAGGATCGGTAATCACAGATATACATTACCTAGATAGCATGGTTAAGTCTCTTACTGCAACTTTCAGAGAGCAATGGCAATAGCCTATTGAACGCAATATCTGTTTGGTTAACTGTATCCATACCTTGTCTACGCCAGATCAGACCTGAGACATGCATTGCTGATGGGGAAGGTTGCTATGTAACTTGCTGCGTCACGCGTGTGTGTGGAGGTAGTGCGCTCAACTGACTAGGCTTATGACGAATTATGAAGTAATTTGATCAGGCGGGGAATCCATTGCAGTCACAGAGAATTGATATGGTCCGCAGAATTAGAAGGTATAGGATACATTTTTCCGCATATTAGGAATAGTAGTTGCTTAGTCCTGGCCTCTCTGGTTTCAACCACGTACGCCACCCTAGAACCTATGCGGAAGTTGAAGCTCAGAGGTAAAGATGGTGACTCTCTTCTAAAGTTTATCTCGAGGACATACGCTGCGTTCTTATGTAGTATATGCTAGGAAACAGTAACTCCTGGGGATAGTAGGCAAGAATGGAAAGACTTTAATCGATATTTACATTCAGTATTAGGCTGTGTGAGTAATAGCGTTTAACTTGAAATGCTTTCAGGCGTTTTCCATCCCATTTTACCTCCACCAAACCGCATCAAGTAGAATACAGAGATAATTAGCGATAAGGACATGGTTTCGTTATCGCAACGAGATGTCATTAGCTTCAAAGACGAAAACCATGGCTCGGGCCAATTATTACCCGATGTAATTTCGCGTTGATTTACTGAACCCCTCCCAACCTCACACTTACCCAGGGCTCTATTAAACAGTCAAGCATCAACATGTCACAAATTAGCCCACGCCCTGAACCACCTGTAGTCGAAAGAGATGGCTTTTCACTGACCAAGGAACGCTTCTGCGCCAGCATTGGAAATATCGAACGGGTTATTGGGGGCAGATTGCGCGAGCTATTTTGGCCAGAGACTCTGCGATTGAAACGAGACCAGAAAAAAGCAAGCGATGAAGCTCGAGAGCTGTTCAAGAAAAAGGGTTTTTTTCGCAGGACAGCTGAGACATTACGGTATCAGTTTTCATCCCAGGAAGACCAAAGTGGGAGAACAGAAGGAACTTTTGATGAATGCAGTGGCTCAAGGACAGGTTAGTTGGTCAATTCTTTACCGATTCTAGTGATCTAATGCTTTCCAGTGCGATCATGTTCCACCGTCGCTATTGTCGTTGAGACAGTCAATGGAACAAGCTCTACAGCCTTTGTATGAGAAGTGGCAAAAGGACGTGCAAGAATGGGACGCAAACGACAAGCGTAAAAGACTAGAGGAACTAAACAAATGTAAAACTCCGGGCGACAAAGCAAACTACGATCTGGATCTCTTTCTCGAACACTACTTCACCACTAATGGTCAGCCTGATCTTCACAAAACACCAGACCCACTGTCATTAGAGGGATTTGATGACAGACTAGGCCTGCATCTCAAGGCTGGAGAAGTTCCTGGATTGTACACAAAGAGTGGAGGCCCTAGGGATAACCGAACGCTTTGCATCGGGTGGAATACAAAAGCTGTGGATGCACTAGCGGCGTCTATCAACACGCGCGCTCTTGAAGCAAAGAAGCATGAGAAGGAGAAGAAGTGGACGCAAGCCATGGAAGCGCACGAACAGTACTTGTCAACCCTCAAGCCACCTCCCGCAAGCCGAGGCCGAAAGGCAAAGCCGAGTTTTGATCTTGAGAAATGCCAGGGCTCGTATATTATCAAGTGCGATCCTGTTACCGATGGTTGGCAACATCTCAATTGGCACATACTCACCATGAACATTTTCCCAGGCAAAGGGAATAGTCTGAGAGCCAACTTTGATTTCGGCATTATAACAGGAGCTATGTTTCTTTCCAGTGATGAAGAGGTCTTGGACGATCTAGTTGGATCCGAGAATGGCTCGGGAACGGAGGACAGTGATGACTCCGAAGTTCAGAAGGAGACCAAAAAGGGCCGCAAGAGAAGTATGAAGAAAGAGACCAAGGTTGCGAACAAAGGCCGCCCCGCAAAAAAGAAGAAAAGTGTGACTACGCTGTCCCGTCGTGTCTTTTATCGATTGCGTGGAAAGGAGACTGGAGAAGGCGAGATACTGCCTGATGCAGAGGCTGGAGAGATCGAATTCCTCAGCGACGACTGTATTAAGTTCTCTGGCGTGGCATATGAATTCCCTCACGTCGGGAGTAACGTTGAGTTCAGTGGCTACAAGATATCCAGCTCGCCTGAAGGATTCCCGAGGAGTTGGAATGATTATTCTGAAGCGGCTTATGAACGTGCGAGGATCGGACGATGGCGATGAGCTACGCTTACATTATTCAACCATAATTAGACTCGGCTGTTTGAAGCATTCACTCTTCAATTTACTATCAGCATATTTGAATATTTTCTTCCTATCCTAACTCAACAATAAGGCCAATGCTGCCATCTAGCTAGAGTATGGCTTTCCCTTCTTGAGAGTCTCAAGAACTGCAACACTAAGGTTGGGAAGCTTGAAGTTGAAAGCACCCTTGCCATCAGCCTTGAGAACAGTCTTCTTAGTATCAACGACATTGTTGCCCTTGTGAGGATCATTGAACGCAAAAGGATCCTTCTCCTTGTTGGTCAGAAGAGTAAGCTCAGCCTGAGCACCGGGCTTAACACCCTTGAAGGACAGAGACACGGGAACGTCAGCGCCCTTGGTGGTGTTGTACGCAGCACCCTTCCAGATAAGAGTGCCCTTGTCCTCATTCTTGCCAGCGACGTAGTAGAGAGGGTCGAAGTCGGATGTGGCGGGGAGAGTATGAGTCATGGGGTGACCGGCGAAGAGGGACCAGACGTACCAGCTGGTGGAGCGGGTGGTCATGGCGGAGTCGGCGGCGAATTGGATCATGGTGATAGCCCACTGCCATCGGTTCTCGTTTTTGAGGATAGGAGCGTAGAAAGTTCCGGGGATACGATCGGCGTTGCGCTCATAACCGCAGAGAGCGACGGCCTCACCGACACCAGAGATCCACCAGGGGTAAGGCATCAAGTTGCCGCTCCAGCCAGTTCCACCGTTGGGGTGAGTAGAAGCAACCTCACCAATGATGTGGCCGTACTTGTTGTTATCAAACAGGTTGAACTCCTCCACAAGAACATCAGGCTCACGGTAAGGATGGTAGTCACCAATTCCAGGAGCAGGAATGTCGAAACCAGCGTCTGTCTTACCAACGGGGTCGATAGAAGCGCCGGAGGAAATTACGGTGAGGTCAGGGTGGGCCTTCTTGATAGCCTCGAGGAACATGGGGAAGCGGTACTCCTTGTAAGAGTTCCAGCCGGTGGGATAACCAGCGAGCCAATCCTCGTTTCCGACTTCAACGTAGGAGAGTCTGAAAGGCTTGGGGTGGCCGAGCTCAGCGCGCTTCTTACCCCACTTGGAAGTAACGGGGCCTCGGATGAATTCGATCTCGTCTAGGGCGTCGTCGATGAGAGGCTGGAGTTGGTCCTTGGGGGTGACGGAGCCGTCGAGGGAGAGGCCAGCGTAAACACCGACAACTAAAATCTGTTAGCTTGAGTCTAACCGTCACCGAGTTTGAAAGAACTTACTGATTTCGAGGTTCATATCCTCAGCCCACTGGAGATACTCCAAGATTCCAAGGCCGTGGGTCTGCTGGTAGTTCCAGACACCCTCGAAACCAGGGCGGTTGCGGAGAGGTCCGAGGGTATCCTTCCAGTCCCACCAGGTCTTGTTGGTATTGCCCTCGAGCATGTTACCACCGGGGAAGCGCAGCAGGCTCTTTTCTGGCTGTCAGCGACTAATCATGAGAGACTTGAGATGGTGAAACTTACGGGGTGGAGACCTTCGAGAGCCTCGGCAAGATCAACTCGAAGACCGTTCTTGCGGCCCTTATAGGTAGGAGGGAACAAGCTGATAAGGTTAAAGTCAAGATCTCCATCAGCACCCTACAGAACATCAGTATAACTTCAAGCCTCAGTTTTGGCTGCTACTCACCTTGGGATCATAGGTAATAGCAAAAGTGTTGTTGCTGTTAGGAGCGTTCTTGTTGGGAGTAAGCACAAACTCATGCTCAACCCACTGCTTCTTGTTGGCCTTAGACTTGACCTTGACGCTGCCGAAGATATCATCGGTAAGGTTAGATCGCAGAGAAGCAGTAAAGTGGCCCTTGTAAGCGCCCTTGACCCAGAAAGAGCCAGTGTACTTTTGCTTCTTGACATCTATTCCCCAGTATCCCTCGTTGAGGAAACCAATCTCCTTGGCCTTGCCCTTTCCAGGCTTGACGTTCATGGAAACAGGGAGAGCGTCGGAGAGAGGAGTGTCGAGGCGGTTGAGGGAGAGCTTAGCATCGTTGATGGGTCTCCAGCCAGACAGAGAAACAGGGTATTTCTTGCTGTACTGGAAAGCACGGTTGCGGATAAGTTCAGCGTAGATGCCACCATCACCGGAGTTGTTAATATCCTAGCCCCAAGTTAGCATACCAATCATCGCCAGTGGTGAGTTAGACCAACCTCATGAAGGAAGCCATATTGGTGACCACTAGTAGCGTTTCCGCCCTTGCTGTCGACCTTGATGTTGACAGACTCAACAGCCACGAAGCAAGCCGCAGCCGCAAGGATTGAACTGAAGCGAACCATGATGTCAGGTGTTCGATCGACCTTGCCTTGCAGATGAGGTGAGATTTTCAAAAAACTGCGACGCTGCTTCGGTCTTATATAGTGTAATCCTTCAATTCAGGCACAAACCTGCACAATTCAACCGGCTTAACCAACCCCATCCCGTTCCTGCAGGAAACAAGCGGTCCAATAATTGACAAGATAAGCTTCTCCGCACTTTGATGATCGTATCATGGTCACTGCCGAGGAAGCCATTGACACCAGTCAACTTTACCCGAACGCGGGGGGACGATCGTGAGAAAAACGGTTAAATTCTGAGGGGTTGATCATGACGTTTACTAAAAACTGTCGATCATGGCTTTGTTTTTTCGAGTTGGGGTAAAAAGAGCAGGGGTCTTGAGGGGGAAGGGGGAAATGATTCGTGCGCATTAGAAGCTTGTGTGGACCTGAGTCGTATTTTGTCGTGATCTTCATGATTGAACTCGGTGTAGCTCACCAAAATAAGCTTAGCTTTTCCGACTGCACAATTTCTTTCCAATTCATCCACGAATTAACGCGATAAAATACAAGGGGCCAAGGCGTGTTCACATGATGGGAGGCCGGGTAAATGTCACTTGGCTATATCATGTCATGTCATAATCATACTAGCATTCTTTCTGCCTTTCTATCGCTATTTCATTTCGTAAAACACATAAAAACAATTTGCTTCCATTTTCGATCCCCCAATTAGTCTTCGCTTTGCTCCAGGTGATCGGCCTTTTCCTTGCTTGCGAGGAATTGCTGAGGAGTGTTGCGAGGTCGAGTCTTTGCAAACTTGACTGTTGAGAACACAGAGGGTGATTCCTTGAAGATGAGCTCGATCTCTTCGAGGTTGCGACCCATGGTCTCGGGGAAGAACAGGAAGACCGAGATGGGAACGCATGCGGCGATGACGGCGTACACGATGTAGTACTGCCAGCCGATACTCTCGAGAGCGACGGGGGTGACCATGACGACGATGAAGTTCCTGCTGATGTTAATATTTGCGGGAACAGGAAAGAGGAAGGGAGACATACCAGAGCCAGTGGTTACCGGTCGAGATGGAAGACATGGCCATTCGGAGGCGGATGGGAGCAACCTCAGTACAGTACAGGAAGTTGGCGCCCAGGAAACCGATGGGAACAAAGGTGTTGTAAAGGTAAATGAAGCATCCGGCAGCAATCATGGCAGGTTTGTTCTCGCTACCGAAAGAGGTGGTGATAGCGAGGGCGATCATGCAGGCCGACATGCCAACACCGCTGATCATGAAGACGGCGCGACGACCGAAACGATCGATGGTGAAGAAAGCGATGAAAGAAGCGAGGAACTTCCAAGTGAGAGCTCCTCCGGTGAGAATCTTGGCAGTCTCGGCGCTCATGCCCAAGTTCTTCTGGAAGAGAACGTTGGCGTAGACACTGACCAGGTTGGAACCACTCATTTGCTGGTAGAACTGAAGGAGGATACAGAGGGTGAAGCGGTACAGGAGCTTATCCTCACCCATCTTGAGCATATCGCCCAGACGAGCAGCGTTATCGGAAGTTTCTTCGAGGGAGTGCTCAATGCCAGCGACTTCAGCGAGAACCTCTGTGGAGTCGATGGTAAGACCCCGGAGGGCAGCGACGGCGTGACGAGCTTCCTCAGATCGGTTCTTAAGGACGAGCCATCGAGGACTCTCGGGGAAGAAGTAAATGCTGGCCATGAGGATGAGGGAGAAGGCAATGGCAATGGCGATCGGGGGTCTCCATGTAACAGGACCATGGTGAAACTCGAAGAAACCAAGGTTGATCCATGATTCAAGAACGTAACCAAGACAGATGAAGAGACCGGTCAAGACAACCTGACGACCACGGTTCACAGCCGCCGACGTCTCACTCTGCCAAACCGGGACAATGGAACTTAACTGTCCAATACCCAGTCCAATGATAACCCGTCCAATAATGAACTGCGCGAGTCCAAAAGACGACGCCTCAAGGATCTCTCCAATCAAGGAGCAAATCGCCGCAGCAAAGATGACATTCCTACGTCCGAACTTATCACCCGTATACGAGCAACTTAACGAACCGATCAGAGCACCGATGACAAACGTCGCGACGACGAAGCCCTGGAGGGTAGATTTGGAGCTCTTGTCGGCGCCGGTGGAGTTGACGGTGTCGATCTCGGGGAAGGTCTTGACCCAGTCTTCTTCGGAGAGGAGACCGCCGATGCCAGCTTGGTTGTAGCCGAAGAGGACGAAGGAGGGGGCGACGATGGCGGCGATTTGGAGGATGGCGAGGGGCTTGCCGCTGACGCCCATGTATGTTGGCACGCTCATCTTTGAGAGGAATTGGAGAACGGGTTGGGGAAGTGGCCTGGGTTGGAGATTTGGTTTGGAGGTTCGTTGCTAGGTTTTATACCAATCTCATCAACCAGACTAGAGACTCCAGATTTCTGCGGAGCCCCATGGAGAAGAGCAGGAAAAAACCCCTCGTATGTGGGGATAAGATTTAGTTGATCCAAGCTTCATTGCAACAATAATCGTGAGATTGTTTCTCTTCCTACGGAGTACCATGGCGCATGTTTTCTTCTCACGGTGAGGATTTGGGGTTCATCGGATAATACGGCACGGTCTCTTTTCGGAGGTGCCATGTCGACAGTGGATATCGCGGGTCCCCCAAGCTCCGCAATCGTCATAGCTCGCGAGTCAAGAGAATG